GTGACATTGCTACAGAGTAACGAGTTTCTTACGCATACATTGAGTGTATGCTGTTTTTTATTGTGACGCACATTGATCTAATAGCTTCGAATACATTATCTTTACAATGACCTAACTCCTTATTAGTCATCGAGTTGATAATATCAAAAGATAGGCATGAGTTTAGTAGTGAGCATGGATCAAGAGTGGAATCTTCGGAGCCAAGAAATATGTTTAGGGAGGATGAGCATTGCAAAACTGCTTCAATGCAGCCGCAAGTGCAGGGATGAATTTGGAAGATTTTTCCTATATTGCGAAAGAAACAGTTTTATTACCAATCCGACTACTGTAACCTACATTACCTAACCTAACCATTACCGAACGAAAAAAAAAGAGAGAAGAGTGGTTGCATTAAAGCAAAGAGAGAATAATCTCTAATGATAAGAGTAACCCCAGAGGTGAATAGAGTGAAAACCAACTGCAGAAACGCTCGAGAAGAGTGTAGAAGAGAGATGTTCAGGGGAGGAGAGGAGGAAGAGGATTAAAAGATACTAAATTCAAACAGTGTAGCCAGGGTCAAGGTTATTAAGTTGCCTTGCTTTCACACACTCGACTTCCCCACTAGATGATGAGGCATCACATGCTGGTGCTCAACTACCAACATATAATTCAATCAACATCTAGCAACATATAATTATATCACAAAATGTCATAATCTAATATTACGGATTATGGTTAACCTTGTTATAGCAATCGTTCTCTGCCAAATATTTGGAGCCAATATCTTATGTATCATATCTTCAAGATCACACATTTCAGTCACAAAATCAAGCTTAACTATTACCAATAGTACGAAACGCTTTTAGTAAGAAATTATAGTAAGTGCTGTCTACCACTGGCCGGACGAGTTATAACTAATCGACTGATGGCAGGAATATTATGCCCACCAGGATCACTTATCCAGCGTCCTCTAAATGCAACAGCCATAAGTTGCCAACATATGCGGTATATAGAAGCGAGGCCCGTGTGGGTGTAATACAAGCAGCTGAAGAGCACGCCTGACCTGCGGGTCAGAAGTCAAGTTCACCGTGAGAATGACAGCGTTCACACCCGCTGTGTATGATAGCGCTAACTAAATGCGCCGAGCAGCATGCAGTTCCATGTAACGCGTGCATAGTGATGGAGATCTTTGGGTCTCAGCTCATGCGCCGAACAGCAGTTCCATGTACCTATCCCTCGCGTGCATGGTGATGGAGATCTTTGGGTCTCAGCTCAACGAAGAACATTTTACTCTTCCGTGTACATCATGGGAAAGTAATAGGTTTATGCAAAGAATGACAACTTTCGGCTCTGTTCCATTTTGATGCCAAACTAAAATGTTACTCCTATTATGGCATCTTAGTGGAAAAACCAACGCACTTGAATTTACTCAATTCATCTCAAGAGAAGATAACATAACTTTCTTCTGCCCTCTTGGTGGAGAGGTAAGGTTTAAATTAATTTTTAAAAATCCATTACTATGCATTAATGTATTTTCTCAATTGACTGAAATCTAAAAGGAATGCGTAATGTCCTACAGAGGAGAAAAACGAACAGTCATTCAAACGCTACTATTGGTCTCTAGCATTGGCAAACACGTTGTTTAAACTCCATAATGCGTAATTACTTTCACCGCATTGAAAATTCAAGTTTGCATCTGGTGACAATAAAATTCTTAACTGGATGAATCTATTTTGTGAATTTCGAAACATATCACCTTATATTGAAGTTATATGTACTGCAATTGGAGCTGCATTTTACGCTTGCCAAAGCTTATTAACCGCACAGTGTTTGCTGAAACAGCAACTTGTCTCGTATCCAGAGAGGCAGCAGCTCGAGACAAGCAGGGACATTCTCCTACTAAACTCACTAGTCCGGATCTGTCGTCTTGCTTGCTGGCCGACAGCCTTGACCGCGTGCTTCTCCAGCTCCTCCGTTAGTTCATTTACGACCGTCTTTTATGCACGCGTATCGATATGCTGCGACGATAAAAACTTCCCGCGAGATACATTAGAGTCAGTGAAGCAGCATCATTTGAATTTATGGTCAAGTTGGTGGTGTTTGCTAATATGTTCTATGGTTGACCTTTCTTAATTTCAGTTAAATTCTTCAGCATTTATAATAGCACACAATCTAACGGAAGTTACCTATATGAGTGCATGGAGAGATATATTCAACGTTTGTTTAATGTAAATCTTTCGAAATTATGTTCTTGTTGAATTAAGTAAGGACAAGCAGAATTTGTCCAGTAACACGTTCCTCCATCCGTGAAATCTTGTTCCAACTCAAATGAAAGACCATTTCAATAAGTAAGAAAATTCAATAAAAATTCACTATCTTAATATCCATCGCCAGTACATATCTCAATAACAAAGCATATCAACAACATAGCATTTCAATGAAATTGCGTCCTGATAATACAGCACGCCACTAAATAATATAGTATCTCAATAAAATCGCGTCTTGTCAACCTAGCATGTCAACATATAGGGTCTTAACAATATTGCATCTGAAAAACTTGGCAATGATATAGCAAGCGATGTCTAATTTGAACATTTTCGAGTTGATTTCTCCGTTACATCGATCATTGATGGCATCAATAAATGAAGCGGCGAGGGATGAAAAATTCGTTGCTAATTTCTACGTCACACATTAATTTCTTTCACGTCACATATATCAATATTTTTCAGTTGATGAAGTCTACTCCTCGAAAATTCTGTTCAGTTTGTTAACTCTTTCATCTCTATAAAGAAGCAGAAACGCTTTCACCTTAAACGGCAAAATTGGTGACGGGATGACTCAGTAGTATGCAATGACCACAAGTATGGACCATAATGTGTGGTCCAAAAATATCAAGGGGTTTAGCTCTCCAATCTATCATGAAGCTTAGTTGTGCAAGAAACATTTACATTTGAGGATAAGTTGCTATGTTCTGACCGATCAACACAATCAAAACGTGTCAGTATAAACGCTCAGAAGAACGCATGATTTGGTATGTTAGTCGAAAGTAGCTTATGAGGCGTCAAGTGGTCAGTCTTTAACACATGTCTGTCATGTGTCAAGTGGACAGTCTCTAACACCTGTCAGTGTAATGTGTCAAGTGGTCAGTCTTTAACACCTGTCTGTAATGTGTCAAGTGATCAGTCTCTAACACCTGTCTGAATGTGTCAAGTGATCAGTTTCTAACACCTGTCTGTGTAATGTGTCAAGTGGTCAGTCTCTAACACCTGTCTGTAATGTGTCATGTGGTCAGTCTCTAACACCTGTCTGTAATGTGTCAAGTGGTCAGTTTCTAACACCTGTCTGTAATGTGTCAAGTGGTCAGTCTCTAACACCTGTCTGTAATGTGTCAAGTGGTCAGTCTCTAACACCTGTCTGTAATGTGTCAAGTGGTCAGTCTCTAACACCTGTCTGTAATGTGTCAAGTGGTCAGTCTCTAACACCTGTCTGTAATGTGTTAAGTAGTCAGTCTCTAACACCTGTCAGTGTAATGTGTCAAGTGGTCAGTCTCTAACACTTGTCAGTGTAATGTGTCAAGTGGTCAGTCTCTAACACCTGTCTGTAATGTGTCAAGTGGTCAGTCTCTAACCCCTGTCTGTAATGTGTCAAGTGGTCAATCTCTAACACCTGTCTGTGTGTGGTGAGTGGTGGTGTTGGTGGCGAGTGGTGGTGTTGGTGGTGGTAGAGTAACCAGGAGTACAGGATCTGTGACTGGGCGTCCAATGTGGACTGTGATAACGCTAACCAGTGGTGAGTGGTGTTGGTGGTGGTGAGTGGTGGTGTTGGTGGTGGTAGAGTAACCAGGAGTGCAGGATCTGTGACTGGGCGTCCAATGTGGACTGCGATAACGCCAACCAGTGGTGAGTCTGTCTCTTATACACATCTAGATGTGTATAAGAGACAGGTGTAATGGTCAGTCTCTAACACCTGTCTGTGTAATGTTGCAAGTGATCAGTTTCTAACACCTGTCTGTGTAATGTGTTAAGTGGCCATGCAGTCTCTAACACCTGTCTGTAAGGTCTGTCATACATGACCGAGCAGAGTCTGCTTCCTAAAAAAGACAGGCGAGTGGGATATGTAGAGAGGGATTATCCCTTGGCTTTGCACAGTTCAAAATTTAATTCCATCAAAGAAAAATGTTTAGATAAAGGGAAACCTCGTGACTAAGAGAGCCACTTAGCAATAAATTACATTAGATGTGTAATCATAGAAGTAGTAACATAAATCATTATTTGTAATTTATTCTTGAACTTTAGCTTGCTTTGAACGCGTTTAATTTTTTGCCTCTGGAAAGGCCATGCCATCGGAAATGGCAAACGATTTGCAAAAAAAAAAACGCTTGATAATCATTTCCCGGTCGTGAAGAAGAGGGCAACCAGTAAGTTAAAAGACTAATTAACGAAAGAGGGTCATCAATTACAAGGTATGGGTATCATGATTGCATAATTTCTTAATTTGTCTCCAGTCTATGCCACAACGGCCATCTTTTAGCCGTACGATCTACTGAATCTCACCTTGCCTGTTCACAGCACATCCACTTGGCAAGATTTGCACAATAGCTCTCGTCGAGCGCGAGCATTGATTGCGTTGGAGTCTGTCAAGACATTGCTTCATTTTCGCACGTCAGCCGCTAGAACAAAATTCAAGTATTTAGGGCACCTGATACGCTATCAGGACACGCTAGCTTCATTATATAATTGAGTTTTGTGGCCACTTTTTATCGAAGTTCTTCTTACGAACCTCACAATTTTACGCCGTAAGATTCAAACTACTTTCAAAACTTTAGTCCTAGAATTCAGTTTGGATGATCATCAACGTTCAAGCTTCGCTCAATGTCAAAACGCATTGTCTCTCGGCTGACATTATTCACCTCTAACTGAACGTAAGTTTTTTCGTTAAAGAGTAGAAAACAAGCGTTCTCTGAAATCATTTACATTGTTTTTCTACCTTTGTTAATTTAATTATAAATGTTTTCTTTCCAGATCAACTATGACGAGGCAACTTCCTACGTTCTTCTCACTCGCTGTCATGGTCATAGGTGAGGTCTATTAGCGAAAAATATATCGTTTAAATACGACAGGCCTATCCAGGCCTATTCTTCAACGGCGAAGATACTATACTATAATACTGTATTAAGTAATAACATAACATAACATAGTGATGTTGGCGCTGAAGTTCTTACCGAACACCGAATAGCGAAGTTCTTAATTTATGTTGTTTTTAAGTTACTTTGAAAGCTGGTTCGATAGAATAGTGGATGATGAAATTTATAATAATTGAATTGAATACAATAATAAAGAGATTTATTGAAGTCTTGAGATGATTGATGACCTCTATACTCCCACAGCGTGCACGGTGGTCTGCTCGCTGCCGACGCTCAGTAGGGTGAGAGCACACCTAACTTACATGACAATTTCTGCTATATTTCTTATACGAAATGCACAGGGAAGAATATATGTAGGTTCATTGTATAAAGGTAATAATAATTCTAAATATTGTAGGAATATCATAAAAATTTGTGTTTAATGTAATGCTTCTCGCAGTTTGAAGGTGAAGAAACATTACATTACCTCTTTTAAGGTCTACATACTTGTTGTTGCACCCACGTTGTCCTTCATACGTGGTCGATTACACAAAGTACAAACATACGATAATGAAAAAATTTTTATTCAGGTGAAGCGATGGGAAGAATTTCCTAATGTAACGTTCACGTTCGACTGCACCGACCGACCGGTCGGATTTTACGCCGACCAGGAATTCAACTGCCAGCTTTTCCACATGTGCGACGAGGACGGCCGGCGCATCCCGCACATGTGCGCCAACGACACGGCCTTCAACCAGGAGTACAGGATCTGTGACTGGGCGTCAAATGTGGACTGCGATAACGCCAACCAGTGGTGAGTGTTGTCAGTTGTGGGTGTTGTAACGTCAGTGGTGAGTGGTGGTGTTGGTGGTGGTAGAGTAACCAGGAGTACAGAATCTGTGACTGGGCGTCCAATGTGGACTGCGATAACGCCAACCAGTGGTGAGTGGTGTGGGCGTCCAATGTAGACTGTGATAACGCCAACCAGTGGTGAGTGGTGGTGTTGGTGGTGAGTGGTGGTGTTGGTGGTGAGTGGTGGTGTTGGTGGCGAGTGGTGGTAGAGTAACCAGGAGTACAGGATCTGTGACTGGGCGTCCAATGTGGACTTTGCCAACGTCAACCAGTGGTGAGTGGTGTCAGTTATATGTGTTGTCAGTTGTGGGTGTTGTGACGTCAGTGGAGAGTGTTGTTGCAGTTGTGGTTGTCACTATCAGTGACAACCCAATGTTGTCACTATCAGTGGATGTTGTCACTATCACAATCAATGTTGTCACTATCAGTAGAACCCCTTCGTTCTCTACAAAGAAACTTAACAAGTCACGTGCTTCATGAAAGGTAATCGGATTTAAATCTAAGAAAAATGAAATGCAGTGGCTTCCATCTTTTTCTAATTTCCGAATATCTAATGAATAAAACCACTAAAATATTGTAATTTTTACGTGCAGGTTCTATCTAAACGAACTGACCTACGTCACCGACCCTCCTAGATATCCTTAACTGAAGCTGTAAGCCACGTATGATGTCACACCGTCACAACACACGCGAAGAACGGCGAGCTTCCGTTGCCGCTAACGGCCGCCTGGTCGCAGCGGCCATCGCCTGTGATACAATTTGCCGGAGATTTTCATTGCCCCCCCTCTTAATTAATAGTGAATTAGTAATGCAACTTTTTTAATCTAAAACAACGTCATATCATTGATTTGTTGTAGCATTTTTTTGTGTTTAGCTCTGAATTCGAATTGAAATAATGGCAATACTAGTATTTTTTGGGCCACCGTGCACTGCACACTGCAGTGGACATATGACGATCGATATAAAATGTGTTGTAAATCTTCAATGGAAAAGCTTCTAACACAAATGACGTCTCAAATTCTGTGTAGTTTTGCGAGTGGTGAAAATTTTGCGATTTTTGTTTTGTGTATAGTGTAAATACTCCATGCCCATAAATTTCGCTTCTGCTTGATTTCTTGCCAGTACCGCTAGAGCTGTCGTTGAGTAACTTGAAGGATTTATAGTTAGGCATGTGACTTCCTAAACACAATAATTCTCTAAGAATTTAATAGCAAAGAAAAGTCAACAAAAATTCATATCTTTATAGAAAACGTTTCGGAGACCAGCTCCATCGTCACGATGGAGCTGGTCTCCGAAACGTTTTCTATAAAGATATGAATTTTTGTGGACTTTTCTTTGCTTTTAAATTCTTAGTTTATTTGCGATTTAATTAAGCAAACAAGTGATATAAATTCAACAATAATTCTCTAGTAATGGAGCCATGATCTCGAGCAGCGTGCCTTGTAAGGTTCCATCACAATACTGCATATTGAGCAATTTTTTGGGTAGAAATGTGCCCGGTTTTCAGTCGAAAATGATCTCGCAGCAAAACGTATAGTATAGCAATCGACGTCCGAATAAAATCAACAATAGACCAATGATCACGATAGTTCACAACTAGTATACCTGTGATTTTAACGAGAAACTAACGGAAAAAAGCTCTGCCTCTGAGCATCGCTCTGTTAGGTCGTCTCAATGTCTCCTCCGGCACCGCAACCATGGCATGTTGACGAACAAAATTAGTTATAGTAACGAGAATAATTGAAAAACTCAAGGAGCTTCCTCAGAACTTTTTAGGCCAAGGGAGCCTAAAAATAATGCCATTTTAGCACGCACAGTACAAGTTTAGGTCGGTGAATACATCGCTGTAATTGCCTACGATCGATCGAAGCCTTCACGCACGCTCGTTAGAATTAACTTCCTTCTCTTCATCATTGCTTTGTTATACGAACGCTGAACCAATAAACCATTCCGTTCCCGTTCATCACGAAGAAAACAGCGATCAGGTTGCCGAATTTAAGAGGAAAGAAATTCCCCGCCGTCGATACACGAAAATTTACTATGGCTCTGGAGCACAGTGGTGTCAATGCCTCGTGTTTTACTAAACTAACTTTATTGAGAATTCAAATTGTACGAATGTTTCTTATTTAATCATATCAGATGTCTATTACGGGACAATATATTGAAAACTGAACCTTGAGGTCAAACTGTTTTCAACACGATGAACCGAGACGGAATGAGATAATTTTTTTTCTTTTCTCTTCGTTGCATAAGTATTAAGATATACCGCCGCGAATGACTGATGCGCGACTACAGGCCATAGTAATGTTACATGTGCTTGTAATTTATTAGGTTAGTACACTTCCGCCTAACTGGCTATTACAAACCAGCCGCTAACGATAGAATAATGAAATGAATGATTGTTAATGCGCACGACTTACAGGAATGCGGGTGCAAATCTCACGTGTATGAGCCTCACTCGTCCAGCTAAATCAAACCTCAGAGTCTCATGGTGCAAACAATAATGAACGGCTGCAGCAAAGTACCACTTCCACAGCTACTTCATACCTTCGGATTTATTTTAGAACTAATGCTAAACCATTCAGTTTCAAGCAAAGAAAAGTAGCTAGCGCATCATAGATCAGAGTTTCATTTCATCGTTATTTCATGAGAGTTTGAACAAACGACCAACACTCTTGCCAGCGGGACTCAAATGTTTCCGAGTTATGCTCTTGGCTGGCTGGCAAACGAAGATCTCACGTCACGTGGGAGGATTAGATTCTTTCGCCATGGGATCTGCTGGCGATAGAGACAAGGGCAACCTAATCTTGCATTCCGTAGCCTGTTGAGAATTTTAGTGGATTTAAAACGATCGTGAAATTATAGTAGACTTTACTTCTTATTCATTTTGCTACCATCATTTTCGTTTTTAGCTCGCCGTACAATTTTAAATGTATTTGTATGTAAACTTATTATTACTCCATGTAAAATTTTTGAAATTATGGGTCATGGTGATCGTTTGAATCCGGAGTTACTCCGGGCGCCATTGTATGTAGTCTTTGTCTGCCCAACAGCTGCCTGTTTTAAATATGTATGTGCTAAGAACAATCGACTTCGATTATTTTGTAATAGAAAAATCGAGTGTTAAGTAAACGTTTATTTCTAAGTAAAATCTATACACTCATCGTGGAATTGTGATTTCCCAGAAGAAGATTGATACATTGGAATTGTTGTCTTGGTGGGCAGGATCTGGACACTCATCGGAATATATAATAATAATAAAAGCGGTTCCAGCGTTAGTAGGCCGTAGGCTTGTCGCCGATTCTTAACATCGCAGAATTTTCACAGCTTCTTGCGGTCTCGAACTCGCTGCTTCAATATTGCTGTGCTTAACCGCCTGGCCTCCTTGCCGATTCTGACCAGAAACTGGCACACAGAGCTGGGATCGAACCCGCGCCTCTCTAGTGCGTTAATCCTGGTACTCTGACTGTAACCACTGGGCCACCCTGCCCTAACATATCCTCGCTCAACCTTACAATCTTGCAACTCAGATTATGGACGCAAGTTGGAAAGCATCTGAAGAACAAAACTCAAGAGGGACGAATTATGAATACATTACGAATATAATTCTACATTGTGATTCACGGTAACTTCCCCTGCTTTGTATTTTGATCCAAGCAGCCAGATGTTGTAGGAAAAGGGCGGGGAGTAATTCATATGTAAGGCAAAGTCATGAAGTTTCGTGTAACTTTGTTATTATGCACACATTTATTTGGTGTCACTGTTGCCACTATGCATTGGACAAGTGATCAGCGTGCGTTTGCTGTCGAGGTGTACTTATCTAATGACAGTTACATTATCGCTACTCAACGAGCATTCCGTTCCGTATTTTTCCTGCGGTTCGGGTTACTGATCGGAAATCGATTGTTACGTGCAATTATTACAATAGAAGCAAAGGAAATATTAACGTAACTTAGTACAGATATATAAAAACGAGTATCACATCAAATCTTTCCCCAATCACAAACTTGAGACGCACAACAGTGAGGCAGGCTTGTACGTTGCTGTCTAAAATTTCCTACGAATCATAAATGAAGAGACCAGCGCTCATCAAAATTTCAGCTACAGCACGGATGGGAAGTGTAAAATGGGGAGCAAAACAAATTTCAATAAACAGATCGTACGGAAACAACAGCAGGCGACGATACGGAACAAATTCAAAGTGAAGAACATTATAAGAAAACAGGCTCATTGTCGGATACAAGTATTAAAATCACTTGGCTGCTTAAGTCGCAAATTTACCAGGAATTTAAAAGTAAAGAAAATAGCCAAAAAGTTTTCGTTTTCGTTTATACGTTTTCGATTATAAGAAATGATGAACTTTTTGGCTATTTTCTTTACTTTTAAATTCCAGGCTCATTGTCTTATTAAAAGCAAGTGAGAAGAACACATAAATAATATATAGTAAGATCCTACAGACTACGATGGCAGTGATACGTGACTAGAGTTGCGTTGCTGATATGGAGACTCACCCTCCGTAGCTCAAAAATTTATTAAACATAATTCGCACGTAAACAGTTCCTAAAATCGACCTGACGTATTTTGAAATATCAACATTAAATGAAGAGGAACAATGACCACATTACATAGAATGATCAAACAATCGGCCCGTTTAATGTGTTCAATCTCCTGGCGTATTCATCGACGTCTTGAGAAATACGATTGCAGCGTATAAAGCAATATAATTAAACTTTTAAGTAACACAACAAATACGGAACCATCTCAGGTAATAAGATTACCGTAACATCTTAATACGATTACCTACTGTAATGACTTTAATAACACGGTTAAAAGAAAGTGCGTGGAACTAATAAAATTCCGTAAAACTATTAATCACAGATAGAAATAAAATATTTGTACAATTCACGATCTCGTTATTGTTACTAAGTATCAGGTGCCATAAGATATAAATTGATCGCACATCACCCAAATGAATGACATTGACACATGGAACAGGAATAAAGTTGAGCTTAAAGCACTAAACCTAAGAGAACGTGCACTAAATCTAAGAAAACTTGACAAGCACACTTACAGCAGTAGGGCTTGTGCAATACAGATAAGGGAAACAGTTGTGATTAGTGCGCAAAACCTAAAAGAACTTGACAACCACACTTCCAGCAGAGCAGTAAGGCGGGTGAAACACACAGGTATATCGTATCGTATCACAGGTATCATCATCAACGACGTTAAAGGACGGATACGAATGATTTATTGCCCCGTAACAATAATGACCTGATTATGGAATCGGTAAGAAAATTCGTGCCCAGAATATAATGTCAACGCTAATAGCTTTTTTGATGATCAAGACTGAATAGCATTCATATCTAGGTTATAGAACATTAGGTTTAGCCAATGTAGATCAAAGCCATAATTATATTAATAATTCTACTAAAGCTTCAGTGCATTGAAATGGAGCATTAAATGGAGCGTGATGACACAACCACAGCGTGCATGAGGTTACAGACCGTGGCCAGAACCAGGGCTGCCACAAAGCGACAGGAGAAGTCTAGATATTCTCAAGTTTGGCGCTCCTCATCAGTAAGCTCATTGATGTACAATATACAATTTATTGGTTTCGGCGGATTTCGTACTCTTTAAATATTAAAAGTACTCCAAATGCAGTTATGTTGAATGAATCCCTGCTAAATTCAGTTTCTTTCCAATGCATAAACGAAAAGTCATTGCACATTTAGGCAAAGCGTGCACAGTTTATATGATGCGGCACTTGCTGGTGTGCTTTTGTCATAAAACTTGATGTTTTAACATAGTTTGAAGGAATTTTAACTATAGATTTCAGGATAACCTAAACTTTCGATTCTTGGAGAAATATCACAAGTAAATATGTATGTATAGATTAGTATTCTACCCAATAGCCGAAATCGAACACAAAATGACCCACATCCATTTTATTTGGCGAAGCCAAAAAGAATATCTAATAGTATATATATATATTTATATATAAAGATGGTTAATTTGACCGGACAATAGGCTTATATAGCAACAATGATCAAAACCGCGTAAGCAGCAGAGACGCCAATTTTTTATTCTACAACTTTTACTTCATGCTTTGGGAAAATCAATAAGGTAACGCATTGCAGGTGCAATTTAAAGGCACAAACACATTTACATAGATTACGGTAGCCTGATCCAACATCACACCCGCACACAATTCATCACACAAGCACAAAATTGACACATTAATATGAGGGCAACAGTCGATCACCGAAAAAAATACAAGGTAATCTCAGGCATGAAAATTTCTTCTACGATTGGTCAAAATGAACTACGACCTAACTGAGGATGGACGGAAATAAAATTGTAAGCATCCAACCCAACATGATAGTGCTGAGCTAATTATTGATGACGAATATCACCATCAGCCAAAATATGTAGCCAGTTGACCTAGTCAAACACTGGTGAGCACAATCAATCGGGTAGGCAACAGCACCAGCACACTAGTAAGAACTCAAAATACCAGCATTAACAGAAAACTACCAGTAAATTTTCCTCACAGATCCAAACTCCAAGAATTTGGATCCATATTTGAAAGATACAAGAGGAAACAAAATATTGATCAATGCAAGAGAAGGCACATTTTAGTTATTCACCACAGAACTCGATGAAAAAAAAGCTGACCGTTATAGCGATCGGCATAACAGGCGATGAAACTATGAGTTCTAGGAGCTATCGATGTTCAATAAAAAAAAATCTGACGATACAAATTATTTTGAAGTTACAAACAGCTGTGATTGATAAGCTGCAAGAACAATGTATTACAAAACTTTTCAGAAATGGAAAGTATATGATTTTCCAGCAAGACAGGAATGAACGGGAAAATTACAGGCAATCTAATCATTATAGAGGTGGCAGTGAGATGAAGCAAGAATTCAGTTCGAGGAGCTGCAGCCGTGGCTAATGAGACCGGCCCCAGTAGAGGTTGCTGCTAATGAGACCGGCCCCAGTAGAGGTTGCTGCTAATGAGACCGGCCCCAGTAGAGGTTGCTGCAGTGACGGCAGGTCGTGACGCCCCCATAGCGCGGCGCAGGAGAGCTGCTGCTCCTCACGACTCTGGGGCGCACGGCGGTCGCCCCAGAGGGTCCCGTGGCAGCCGTGCGCAGCGTCGGCCGAGCCCTGGAGTGCAGCACGCTGCTGCTGGCCCTAAGTCCACCTCCCTTCAAATGCACAAAAAACATGTCACTCTAGTGCTTAAATTATCGGTTGAGATTATTGGCCTACACAGGTCAGGCTTTGCGCAAAAGTTATATGGGCCATCTTCAAATTCAGGATTAAAAAAAAGTATCCATCTATACACTCATTAGCATAAAACTTGTCATAGAAATTTTTTAAATAGTTCATAAATTTAACTGAGTTATCAGAGAAAAGAATGTGTACATCAATGAAAATTTGCTAGCAATAGATCTAAGCATGGAATGCAAAATATATATAACATACAAACATTCAAACTAACTTCAGTTTGTGCAGCAATATTGCCAGTAGATGAGCTCAGCCGCTGCTGGCTGGAGATGGCGTTTTGAAGTCCTTTTTTGGACTTGGAACTTTGATTACCAGCAGGGACTTGGGGTCGGTCCCCTTGGGCGTTCCAGTTCAGGCGTCTGTCAAGTTTCAATTTCGGTCGCCAGAGTGAAGACGTCGCTGCAAATGGAAAACTCGTATGAATTTGATTGGAAAATAAGATGAAATAAAAAATTACTCCGTCAAGACCATTCTTCTAACTACACATGAACGGAAACTAGAAATATCTTAAAAATACCTGAACAAGTAAATGATTTATATAATATATATTTGTCCAAACTTTGCTCAAGGAACATACCAGGCAATAGATCATATTCCTTAAAGACTGGATGAGACTTGAGGACACCCAAAAAGCATTGCTCTGAGTTGAATTTAGAAAAATGCACATTCTTTTCTGTGGTGCCATTTATTTCTTCCATGGCCCCCACAGCATCATCTATTTGAGTACTGTTATCGAGTTGTTGTGTTTGCATTTGTGGAGATGATAAATTAACAGATGATTTATATTTCATGTCTGGTGGGTCACTTGTGGCTTCAGAAAAATGTTTTGGTGGACTCTCTTTCACTGGCTGGTAGGTAGTACTACTACTTTTGCCTTCCTTCTGGCAGCTCTCATTCAAATGCTGATCATTTACTGAATAAAATTCCTTGCCACAAAAGAGACACTTCTTCAGTAAGTCTGAATTGAGGGACTTGTTTAATCTCCTTTCATTGATGAACTTTGAAATATTAGTTGCATTTTTAGAGATAGCCTGTTTAGCCATTGATGTTCTTGCTGCTTCATGAGATGGTCTGACAGGTCCCATAGAAGCACTAGTGAAGACTCGTCTAGTGGATCTTGTAGCCTCCCTGGAAATAAAAAAATGCAAGAAACCTCTTAACAGTGATTGTACAGTCAAGTCTAAACATGTATAATACAGGATCTCACCATGTATACTGCCGAGACTGCAGAGTAGCTGAGAGCACAAGGGCACAAAAATAGGCACCAAAACTGCCACATGAAATCCCATTGCATTCCTAATAATTAAGGAAGAACATGGAAATTCACCAAATGCAATTTTCATGCCAGCATTGAAGAGACAGTGAGACATTGTAAACACACCACATGTTCAGGCCATGCCAGAGCCAAAAGTTTATTTCATAGCTTCAGATCAATCATCCTCAAATCGTGATTTGAGGGCAAACAAAGGGGCTTCTGGCCAAAAAAAAAAAAAAATCTGTGCTTCAAGTGCCAACTTACTTAACATAGCAACACAATGACTCCTTAAATGTTCACTCTTTTTTTTTTGCATGTAGGGCACATAGCATTTCTCGGATGCAACCTTTCACAAATCTGCATCAGGCAGTTCAGTAATCTGTCCTGCAGGAATAACTGACATGAAGAGTTCTTGTTAAGTGTAACAGCAGCATTTACACAGGTAGCTGCAAGTGTGATGTCTCTTGGAACAGCTAGAGTTCTGGAAGTGGGTCATCAAATGTACCTCATCATAATGTTTTCCGTCCTGAAAGAACTTAAAAAGCCCCATGCTAAGTTAGTCGTATACTTATTGTGAGAAAAATTTGGGTAATGCTGAGATAGATGGCAGTTTCACATTCTTGTAGAAAAGGACAGATTCTTCATCAGGGTGCAATATTTCAACCTTAACATATATAAACATATCTACCCATATTGTCAATTACCGTTCGTTTACATTCATTTCATACTTTGAAAAACTATGGCATAGCATTAGATTCAAATTACAGATTTTTAAATGCACATTTGACTATAGACAGCTTTTTCAGAGATTTTCTTTTCAAATTAAGGTGGGCAAGCCACTACAAAACTCCAGAAAGAGTGCAAGCATGTGAAGGCCCTTGGGTAATATAGATGGTCTTAAAAAATATTTATCCAGTTGTGGACATGGAAGATGTGGTTTGCAACTCAATTAAATAGCAATAATCTTAGAAGTTTTTTAGTGGCACTTGAGGGCTGCTCCATGCACCCTTACACTCATTGAAAGCACCCAAATACTTTGAGGCATACTTTTGATGTGCAGGTTTTATGGATGGGGAGCATAGACTTACCCATGCTTTTACTTTACCATGAAAGGTATTTTCAGCATTGCTGTATTGGGGCGGGATAGACTTACCACTCTCTTTCTTTACCATGAAAGGTATTTACAGCACAGCTGTATTGGGGCGGGATAGACTTACCACTCTTTTTCTTTACCATGGAAGGTATTTACAGCATGACTGTATTGGGGCAGCATAGACTTACCACTCTCTTTCTTTACCATGAAAGGTATTTACAGCACAGCTGTATTGGGGCGGGATAGACTTACCACTCTTTTTCTTTACCATGAAAGGTATTTACAACACGGCTGTATTGGGGCAGCATAGACTTACCACTCTTTTCTTTGCCATGAAAGGTATTTAAAGCACGGCTGTATTGGGGCAGCATAGACTTACACTCTTTTTCTTTACCATGATAGGTATTTACAGCATGACTGTATTGGGGCAGCATAGACGTACCACTGTTTTTCGTGACCATGAGAGGATTTTTTAGCACTGCCAATGTCATCGCACTCACACACATCATCTTCGTAGGGGAGAGGTTGGTGAATTTGATGAGCAGTTCCATACAAATGCCTGAGGGTTGAAATTACTGCAAATATAATTTGATCAAGGCAATAAATCAATAATGAAGCTTCTCAGATAAATCAACGAACAAATATGCCACCCAATATATAAACAGGAAGGATAGGAAAAATTCAACTGTAAAAATTTCAATATGGTATATAATATGCAACATAGCCAAATGATATTATTTTAATTAATATTTTTGGTCATCAATCATCAAATGGTAACATAAATGTCCACAAGTACCTAGTACCAAATAATTATGAATGTTCATAGCATCAGGTAGGAAAATTACCTAGGTATATGTACTATGGAATTGAAACCTAATATTTGCTGATTTCTACTCAAACTCCTTCAGCATTGAAGACCATAATGTCCATATTTCATGAAGGTTTTCTGCAATTGATACTGCAAAGCTATTCCATGGTATCTCCAACATTATAACTAGAAAATATATTATTTAATGAATGATGTATTTATCAGTAAGTTAGTAACTAGTTAAGGTTCTACAACTCCTTCAAAAATAATTCTAGGTACCAGGTCTCAAGATTGCATTGACATCTAGCAATGCTTCAATGGACTGAGTGTTATCCCAATGAAATAGATATTCTGGATGTTATAATATCTATATAAATGTATTGATGAAATTTCAAAAATTATTTTAACAAGATCCACTGAATTCAAATCTCAAGTGCACTTTTTGATGTTCATTGATGTAAGATTTGATGTTATATCAAAGATAACTGCAAAGAGCTTGAAGTTATATCTATGCAATTTACAGTAAAATATACCAATTGAGAACAAAAGAAATGTTTTATCAAAATGTTCATTTCACTAAGGAGCCTTGTGGGAATTCTGTAAACTCAGCTCAGGATAACCACTAAATGAAAGTTAGCCCAATTTGTTGAAAATAGTCCAGGAGAGTGGCAAGCAGCCAAAAACAAGCTTTTCCTGGTGTTATTTTCTAGGTCCATGATGAAAATAACTTTGATCAGTAAAGCCAAAGTATTCAAATAGTTGGCACAAAATATTAAAACACTTTGGCAAGCTAATAAGATAAGTTATACACTAGGTACTGCATAACCTCAGCTTTAATTAATTCCATCTCTATCAGCCATAATGGACAAAGGAAGATCTTGTGTATATTTCTTTTCATCCCAACCTTCCTCAAGATGCAATATTTTCCATTCAACACAGCATACACAATTGAAGCCTAATATGTTGCCAAGACAAATAAGCACTGTTGGCTGACATACCTACTATTGGGGTCATCTGGTATCCTCTTGCACCAATAGGACAAGCAAATACTGAACAAAACACCCGTAACTAAACTCCCTCTTTGTAACTTTATCATATGTATTTGGGCTAAATGTATGAATGTACAGTTGTACTGTCAATGACACTCAATTCATTTTTGTACATAAATTGCTAGCCTTCAATCAACACAATCTATTGAATAAAAAGAATGTAGCCAGATCAAAGTTTCTTGCAAGATCTAATTATCTTTGCAGTTTTTTCTTGTGGCAATAAATTACAGCTCTGATTATACAGTTGCAATCAATAAGTACCGTAGTGAGCTAAGTATAGTTATGCACATGAAAAGTATAGTTATGTACATGGATGGTAATACCAATATTCCAATGCAGGAAAGTGTTTCTGCCTTCCAGGAATTTTTACCGGTTGTATGTAGGAACAACAGAATAACTACATTAAAAAATATCAATAATAATTTCAAGTGTATACTCACCTGCTGATTTTGTTTTCTTCATAGAGATTCTGCCTGTCTTGGGAACTTATATTTTTAAAAGTCAACACATAATTAGATTTCCGATGAACCATAGTATAAATTTTTTATATGCTGAATAGTCAATGCAGTGCTATGAATTTCTCTCCTCTTGAGTCACTCCAACAATAAAATAGATTGAAACATTATTAATCACTGAATACAGGAGCACTGAAAGCTGATCCACATAGCATTACATAACAGCTAAACAGCTTGGGTTGTAGTTTAGTACCTAGCAGCTGAAGAGCAGATGCCGTATTAGAGTAAATTAATAAGTGCAGGTTACAATTGGACCCTTTTGCCACAATTACCACTCAGGTATTTTCCTTTACTTGATTCAATTTATTATCAATTAAACATCAGTCAAAATACCTACCATCAAATGGGAATAAGGGACGGGCAGGGTAAATCAGGACAGTCCTCCAACATTTTGTAGAAATGTTGCAGCAACTAATTGAAATATTGCAAAACTAAAAATAGTGGCATAAAGTTCAACATTTTTCCTATCTATATAGCATAAAGCAAGTTAAGAAATCATACATTTACTACCTCTAAAAAATCCCTCAAAAAATAAAAGAGTCTGTAGCAAAGAAAATTTGCCATAGTAAAAAATTTTTAGTTACATAAATGTTGCACACAGGTGTTGGCTTAAAAACGTGATTGACAGAATTTGGGTATCTCATTAGCAAAAATTGGCTGCCATTTCTGCAAGGCGAGGTAATAAGGGACACCCCTGCTAGGTAACTACAGACACCACTAGAAATGCATTTATACAGCCCGATGGAAAAGGTTAGCCCCACCCCTTTAAAACATCATAAAACATAGAGTTTTGCCAGTTATAACGTGCAAATGGTGGCAAACAATTTGTCTTGCGCTCTGCAATCTATAGCAGGTGAAATTTGGTGAAAAAGTTAATTACTGGCGGAAAAATCAAGCGATCCGTGTTTTTACACTGACACAAAAGGTTAGCCCCACTCTGCAAGTTTGGCGCTCTTGCGGACAGGACGCAGCATAGACTCGCTGCAAAGGGTGCGTTCATAGCATAGTAGTTGTGCACAGATCTTATGCTCACCTAGGCAAGAAATGGGTGCGGGAAAGCCTCTAACTGAGTTTCAGAAAGGTGCCATTCAAGCCCTGATGGCACTGCCTGAGGGCGAGCGTCCTAGCCTGCATCAAATGGAGGCACAAGTGGGGTGTAGCTGCAAAGCCATCTCCAACCATCTCAAGGACCCTTTGAACTACGGAAAGTGGCACACAAAAGGCCGCCCCAAGAAGATGTCGGCCCGTGACACGCATCGCCTCTTCCAAGTTGCGGCCTCCGGCAACTTGAGTGCGCACAAACTAGTTCAAAAGTTGTAGCTCAATGTCACCAAGTCCACCATCTCTCGCACCCTTGCGTCCCCTGGCATCTTCCAATATGTGAAGATGAACAAGGCCCCCCAAACAAGCATGCCAGGGTTGCCTGGGGGACAAAGTATGCAAGTACTAGTGATGACACCTGGGCCAAAACCACCATCTCTGATGAGAAGAAATGGAATTTGGATGGCCCAGATGGTCTGAAGTACTACTGGCATTGATGCAGGAATGATCCAAAGGCAACTTTTATCCGCCAAAATGGTGGGGGCAGTGTAATGGTGTGGGGGGCCTTTCATGCAAATGGGACGAGTGAGCTCGTCTTCCTTGAAAGCAACCAGTGCGTGGATGACCATGTCCAAACGCTCGAGGACCATCTGCTACCCATCATCTGCCATCAAATTCGCCACGGCGCCATCTTCTAACAAGATAATGCCTCAATCCATACGGTGTGGACGACAAAGGCCTTCTTCAAGCGTGCCAAAATCAGGGTTATGGACTGGCCAGCCAAGTCCCCCGATCTGAATCCCATTGAGAATGTCTGGAGTACATGGCTGGGATCGTCTATGCCTGCAAGAAGCAGTATGACATGAAGGAAGAACTTGAGTTGGCCATTCAAGCTGCCTGGTCCAATCTGGACCCCAACTACCTCCATAGATTGTCTCAGGGCATGAAAAAGCGGTGCTTGGATGTCTACAAAGCCAACGGGGAGCATATCGGTAAATAACCTTTAATTTTGCAGCTGTTTTATGTTTTGTTTTGCCTAAAATGTCAAAGTGTACAAAGTGGGGCTAACCTTTTGCGTCGGTGCAAAAACATGTGTTTTTCATTTTCTCCGTTACTTATTACATCTTCACTAGTCTATTGTATTTTGATTACCAAGACCAAGACGATTCGTTTGCCACCATTTGCACAATAAAACTCGCAAAACTTGATGTGTTATGATGTTTTAAAGGGGTGGGGCTAACCTTTTGCGTCGGGCTGTAGTAGAACCTTGGTTAGCAAAGGCTCCAGTTACTCACCCATGCTGACCCACTAAGATTATCCTGGCTCTTTAATAGGCAAGTCAAGGGAACACTCTGGCCATGCATCTCAGTCCTAAATTTTCTTAGCAAAAATTTCTATCCCGTCAAACGGGATAATAAGGGACGGTTTTCAGCATTTTTTGTTAACTTCTTAAATAATTAATAAATAAATTCTTAAATAATTAATCAATAACTTCTTACCATGAAACATTTCATGAACAAGTTTAGGCTCATTTTATAGCTCTTAGCGAGGGCTATCGAATGACATCTTCAAAAAATTCCCTTTACTATTTGTATGGTGACAGATGCAAAATAAAATGGTCCCAAATTACCCCTGGGAATGGGGTTATCTGGGACACTTGAAATATAACTCAATTTTGAAATGTTTGAAGCATGCAAAGAGTACTCATCCATTACTAACAGTACTCTGAAGACCTCCTCTTTCATTGTAGATGATGTAGATGTAAATTAAATGACATTTTCTGTATTTTTTACTTGTTTATCCTTTATTGATATGATATCACCATATTCAGTCATTATTGTATTATTGATGTAATATTACCGTATCCATTAACATGCCATTGAGCATTTACAATGACCTTGTCCACTGCAAGCTTCATACCAGCAGCCATAGTATAGCATTTCTTCTGTATCTGTAAGCCCACAGTACGGCTTGTGATTTTGCACCATTTTAATTGGGTTAAAGGGGGCATCAACCCTCCAGAAAAACTTCCACATTTACAAATGGATCTTTCTGAAACTTCACATACATATATGTAAATCCAAAATACAAGCATATTTTGTTTGTATGATTTTTCAGAAAAATGGATAGAAAATGTGAAATTCATAGAAAATGGACAAAATAGGGGGTACTTTAAAAATCTATTTCCTCATACAGTTTCCAAGCTACAGCATTGAAAGATATACCATTTGATTCATAAAGACCATACCAATTGAGTAACAAAACCCGATTTTTTATTTTTGCATTAGTTTTTTCTACACGCATTTTCCCGTCTTCTCATTTTCTTCAGATTTTCCCCCCACCCCCCATTTCGAATCCAAACTAAGCACAAATCTAAAAGAAGAGCTTTGTTACTCAATAGGTATGGTCTTTACAAATCAAAGGTATATGTCTCATTGCTTTAGCTTCAAAACTCTAGGAGGAGATAGGTTTGCTGTGACAATAAGTGTGAATGTTCAGGAGAGCGCGACAAAGTCCTGCACGCATTGCAATAGGCACTCAATGTAGCAAGGATACAAAACTAAACGTTTCTGGAGCTTGATTCCAGACATGGATGGTCATGCGACTGCATGCACACCTCATACAATGCCAGGTGGGTAACTAAATGCACCTCAAGCAGACACTCTATTTAAAGTGCTTGCAGCAAATTTCTTATTCTATTTCTTAAAGAACTCTCCCTTTCATGATCTGTCGTGAAAGCATAAATCAACATGCAGAGATGGTAATGGTACCGTTGGATAGGGCAGAATGTCAGCTCTAAAATGAGACTAGAAACCGGAAAAGCCAAATACAAAAACTTTAGGGTAGACGCCCCCTTCAAGGGGAGCATCTGGGATAAAATCCAAAATTTTTACTTTTTTTGTTTTTGGGCTCGTTTTAAAGCTTACTTTCTGACTCATTGAACAATACTAGAACCATCTCTGTACGTTGATTTATGCGTTCGCGACAGATCCCGTAAGGGGAGGAGGTGTCCGGGCCCCTTCAGTGTTAAGTTAAGGTGGAAATTACCCGGCCGGGCACCATAACGGGGATCATCTGACATAAAGCGGCAAATTATGACATTCTCCGGTTCTTATACTCATCTTAAAGCTTACTTTCTGCCACATCGAACAGTACTAAAACCATCTCATTATGTTGATTTTTGCATATCATACAATAAAAATAAATAAAAAATTCCAAGTACAATAAATCATAGTTTAGGTTAATTACTTTTCATTCTTTGTTGCCCAGTGCTCAATTTTATCTGTGACATTCTATGCACAATTTTGTGATGACTGATGCAGTAATTTTTTAACAGGTTTTTAGAGGTACCGTCAACTGGGGGACTTCAGCCGTGTTTTTGATTTTGTTTTGCAAACAAAAGCAGGGTCATAAATGATGGCCAAAGTCACTTTGGCATTTATGACCTTGTTTACGACCCTGGCGTTTATGACCCCGGCATTTACGACCCCGTTTTTGTTTGCAAACAAAATAAAAAACGGGGCCAAAGTCACCCCGGCGGCCAAAGTCACCCCAGTTGACGGTAATAAATGTCTGATTTCTCAACTTGCTTTATGCTGCATAGATACCGGTAGTAAAAATGTTGAACTTTACACCATTATTTTTAGTTTTGCAATACTATTTTAATTAGTTTAGCTGCTACAACATTTCTACAAAATGTTGGAGGACTGTCCCTTATTACCCCGCCTGTCCCTTTTTACCCCATTTGACGGTATCAAGACTGCAGTTCTACCACCACCCTTCATTGAATTATCCTGCATTTTTTCTGAAATTCAACAATCTCTCTTCTAGCAAAGTTTTCAAAATTCATTTGCTGCGCTGCATAAAAGACTCTCTGCTGTGGTGGTCAAGTTCAGGCCTAAGTGGAAAAAACGCGACATCAGAGGGATTAGTCTACCTGTTAATGAATTCCGCAGGGGGCTTAGGCTGCGAAAAATTGGCACTAATTCTGCAGGATGCACAAAATTGATAATGAATACAAGTCGAATTCCGCAGCGCAATCAGAAAAGTGAAATCCGCACGAAGTTCGAAGCCAGAAAATACGGAAGCCAGACGCACAATCGAACAGAAGCTACTGGACCAGGAGCAACGTTCAAGTTTGTCGAACCACTCGACTGTTGTATTGCTTGAGAAGCAAATATGACGTGAATGCAATTGTGAACGCGATGTATGAATACCGCCTTTCGGCTCACCAAACACCAAGTACCAGAGTAAT